CCCCAAAACCCCAAAACCCCAAAACCCCAAAACCCCTAGGTTTGATACCTTGGTTGAAGATGTGTTTTAAATTACCCTTCCAAAAATATTCCGCTTTCTTCATCTCCTTCACCTTCTTGAGCGTAAATCTCGTTCAACTCAGTGATCACTTGAGCTTTTCTGAGCATCAATTCTTGAGCCTTATATGGATTAATAAGATTTGAACCCAAATTGTCCAGTGAAACATAGAATTTTGGAAGTCTAAGACAAATAAGACTAATAATTTATCCTAAATTGGGCAAACAAGAGGCTCTATTAGTGATTTTAACTCTCTTTCTGTGCATACAGATAACACAACCCCTCCTTCTTGGCATCAGAAACCTTATAATTTATTTATAAATTAGAACAATATCATGTAGAATTAAGGCTTAATTTTAGATATTCTGAGCGATGATACTTACTTTAGTGAGAGCTTCTTCAGACTGAGAGTTGATTGTTGAACCAGGAATGAAACAAGCTTTATATTGGCTAGATAAGCTACTTGATTCTTCAAAGTCCACATCTTGGGAACTAACCTTAATGTTGTTTGACTCTTCGAAGGGAATGTTTTCGTCAAGCTCATTTTTCAAAATGCACAACTTTTGTATCTCTTCTTCCTGAATCCTGCGCAGTTTTTCAAAATCAAGAGACGGAACTAGTGGATGGGCCGGTATTTTTGAAGAGTGCTTTTTCTTTGTAGCTTCACTGATAATATCAACATCATCTAGATCAGTATCCTCGAGACGTTCAATTTCTTTTTGACGAATTTCTTCTAACTCTTTTTGAAGTTCTAGTTAAAATGTTAGAAATTCAAGAAGTAAAAATTATATTTACTAACCTGTGGCTAATTCTTTCAATTTAGTATTTTCTTTTTTAAGTTTTCCCATTTTCTCATCGCATTTATTTGACTGTTTCTTTAACTTCTGATTGTTTAAGTTTGAGTTGATTATCAAGATCGCTCACTTGCTTCATGATCATCTGCTGCATATTAATCATGTTCTTCTCATGAGAGATTATCCTTCTCTTAGAGTCATCTAGACCTTCAAGAAGGAGAGTAGCAAGGGAAGCTGGGATTAGTTTAAAGTCAAGTAGTTCCTTAATAGCTTTGATAAATATGGATAACCTCTTTTCGTCAAATATTTTGACAGTATTTCCTCTTTTACTAGCTCTAACAGTGCGTTCTTCGTGATCTTTCAGCCTAGCTTTGATGTTCTCCTCAATTGCTTTGAAGGAAGGATCAGCTTTACTCTCGCTCCTTACTGATACTGGAGTGTACTGGTGCTTATTGATCTTGGATTCAGCTCTTCTCGATTGAGTTTCAAAATTTAAAAAGTTTCCTTTCTCTCTGAGCATATTTGAGTCAACCACACTTATCCTACTCTTGACAGGGCGGTTCATGGGCCTGCTCTTGCTCCCTTTCAATGAGGGATTAGGATGCTCGATCGATATATCTTGGCCTATAAAAGATTATCCCCTAAATTGAATTGTAACTTACTTCCAAAATCTAAATCAAGCATAAAATTCTTCTTATTTGAGATACTATAATTTGAATTCTGAGAGTTTAACTTAGAATTAGACTGAGTATAACGCCTGTTGCCTCCTTTAAACTTCATCGACCTCAGACTTGAAGACTTGATTGGCTTAATACTAGGTGCGTTTGGATGAGCTCTTAAACCTTCGACTATAACCAAAATCCATAAACTTCCATACCTACTCTCCTTGGCTTTGGTTGGAATAGTAATTTTTTCATTAGAATAGATCATTTTCAACATTTCCTTCGATTTATTTTGCCTTAGTAATACCACCTTGGAAAGACCCAGACCCAAGGATCTGGGTCTTGTTGGTATCAATAGTGCTAAACTTGCGAAGGTCTACTTCTTTAAGTGATATTTTATTACTTTTTTTCATTTTTCTTTATAATTCAAGAGACTGTTTATTTTTTGGGGTTTTGGGGTTTTGGGGTTTTGGGGTTTTGGGG